TTTTTTTTTTTTCTTTTGCAAATTTTCTTTCTTTTCTTCTACTTTTTTTTTTTGTTTTTGTGCAAAACTTTAAAAACTACATATTTTCTGTTCGTCTTTCAGCGTCTTCGGATGGCAGTGTCGAATTTGCCGGTTTTCAGACACTTCAGTTTTTTGATCCAAAAAAAAAGAAGTTGCTTTTTTCTTTCCTGTTTATTACTTCTAACATCGTTTAAAAAGTTTTTTTCCTTTTTGTTTTACTGCTATTGCTGTTTAGATTCAATTCTTGAATTAGATTACAGCTTTTTCTTCAGTTTTCTATTATATATCAAATTTGTAGCAGTTTAATTGGTATTACAAATAAAAATCGTAATACAAAAGAAATTTGTTTTTTTTTTTAAAATTATGTTTACTGCTGTGTTCGACAGTTCTTTTTTTTTTCTTATTTTCTTATGTTTTAACTTTGTTATTTTGTAAATATTTTAATGACCTTTTCCAAGAAATTAAGTTTTTTCTTTTTCTGATTATTATCGCTTCAACACCATCACCACCGCCACCACCATCATCGGCGGTGGCAATAGTAGCATTGGCAGCAGCAGCAGCACCAACAACAGTAATAATGAACAGCAAGAATTTTATCGCTCTAAACTTCTTTTTTCTTTTTTTTCTAATCTTTTTGCACCAATTTTTTTTACCTTAATTTTCAATCTCAAAAAAAAAAACGCTTTATTTTGTCTCCTTTTTTTTTTCTTTTAGTTCTTTATCTCCTCCTTCAGTGTCTAAATTTCTTTTGTGTAGCCATTTTTAATGCCAATTATGATTATCTTTTTTTGATGCTCTTGGTATTTGTTGGTGCTGTTTGACCGCTGATGCTGATGCTGATGGCTGTAGTGATGGTGTTTTCTAATCGGATAACCTATTGTAGTCGGTCGTTGCAGAACAACGATAAAATTGTTATAAATTTTTCTGCTTATAGTCGTCAAATTTTACAAATACAGAAAAAGCAATTTTAGTTATTATAAAATGTTATCTGGATAACAATATACGATAAACTTAATTGTAAATGACATT